AGAATTATATTAGATGAACAATATAAACCAAGAGTTGATCCACAAAGGAGATCAAATGCAATGATGCAAGAAGTAATTAAGAATGAAATTTTGAAATGGTTGGACAATGGAATTATATATGCTATTTCAGACAGTGCTTGGGTAAGTCCAATTCATTGTGTTCCTAAGAAAAGAGGAGTGACTGTTGAAACAAAAGAGAATAATGAATTAATACCTATCAGACAAGTTATTGGGTGGCGTATTTGCATTGATTATTGAAAATTAAACACTGCCACTAGGAAAGATCACTTCCCTTTACCATTTTTAGACCAAATAGTATATAGATGTGTTGGGCACAAATATTTTTAATTTTTAGATGGATATACCGGTTACCATCAAATTCCTATTGCTCATGAGGATCAAGAAAAGACAACATTTACTAGTCCTTTTGGAACTTTTACTTTTTGAAGAATGTCTTTTGGATTATGTAATGCACCTGCAACATTTCAGAGATGTAAGATGTCTATATTTAGTAAGTTAATTGATGATGGATTGAAAGTGTTTATGGATGATTTTTCTGTATTTGGAACATCATTTGACGCATGCTTAAATTATCTTGAAAAAGTTTTGGAGTTATGCGAAAGAACTAATTTAGTTCTAAATTGGGAGAAATGTTAATTTATGGTTGCAGGAGGAATTGTGTTAGGGCATAAAATTTTGGAAAATGGTATGGAAGCAGACCCTGCAAAATTTCAAGTTATATCTAAACTAACACCTCCTACTAATGTAAGAGAGGTTAGGAGTTTTCTTGGACATGTTGGTTTTTACATGCATTTTATTAAAGATTTTTCAAAAATTACTAAAGGTTTTTACATGCATTTAATGTAAGACAAGTTTTAGTTCTCTCGCTTGGAGAACAAAATGAAGGATTAGAAGCTTAAGTTTTTTATCACCTCATCCTTGATGAACTGAGGCATCAAAACATACTAATCGGAGACTCCTTCAAGAGAATGATAGGGATGAATTACTCTTGGGTCAAGGGAGCTGAAATCAATGGGCAGCTCCTCTTTGTTCCCTAATACACTAATTTGGTGACTATTAATAAGGCCTTGTTTCCTGGAATGTTAGGCCAGATGACGAAAAACTTGTGGACAACCTCTGACACTGAAGAAGCAAAGTGGGAGGTCGTAGTTACAGCTCAAATGACTTAGAAGAAGGAGACAACTGAAGCCTTGACAAATATGATTTTTGCCCAGGAATTTGTAGCAAATGAGGGAAGGATGGTTGAGGCTCGCGATGGCTTAATAAGTTCAGTAGGTTTAGAATTTCTTTTTCTTTATCTCTGCAAGTAACCACCGAGACTTACCGTTAGAGTGATTTATGACATATCCTTCATGAAGCTTGTTGCTACAAGACAGGAAATTGCTTCTAGAGTTTTATCTGATTCTAGCAAGGAGATCAAGATTTACAATGCTAGAGATTTGTGAGCTATTATACTGATCGGTACTTGAGAGTTCAAGTTCCCCAAATGTCGATCAGACCTAGGAAAACATTAAGAAAATTCATGTTTCATAGCAAAAGCTATGTTTTGAAATGATTCTCCCTTAATTCAATGAGATATGTATCAACTGCCTGACCAACCATTGCGTAGGTAATGTTGTTGGCCTTTCCCTGAAAGTGTTTCAATTGTTGAAAGTCGGCCGTCCTATTTGTGATTCTTGCTTCCAAGCCAAAGCCTCTTAGAAGATGACAAAAATAAGATTTTTTTTTGCGCTTGGATTTGTTGTTGCATGAAGTTCTTGGCGTGCTCTCTGTTAGAAGTTTCTCTGAGATGTATTTATCATCATCGATGTAGTTTTCCTTCTTGTTTGTAGTATGCTCCATAGTCACCGCATCTTTTAGGATGTTAAATCTGGATTTGTCATCTAAGGCATGCCCAAAGATCAAAGCTGTATGAATGATGAGGAAGAGGTAAAGAGAGATAAAGAGCAAAAGAGAAGAAGAGAGCACTAACAAACTTAGGGGGTGAATGGGGTGTTCCCGGGCTCTGTGACCTATTTTGCATCTTGTAAGTGACAGTTACAAAAGAGAAGGGGGGAAAGTCTCCCTACAGAGGATCAGTCTAGAGAAGAAGAGCCAAATGGTGTTTTTATTTATAGTAGTTAAAGGAATGAAGTTTAAAATTACATGCTTGCCCTTACTTTAATATGGGTATCACATGTTGTTTTTGCCTTTTTGAGTGTCTTTCGTAATCTTAACCAATTTTGACACCTTTTTAGTGTGGACCATCTGGTTGGCAAATCCTCGGGTCTGTCAATTGGGTTGATTTTGATTGATCATTTATTTGGACATCGATCGGCCTTTGCTCTAGGAAGTTGGTCAGTTTTGAGTGTGATAGCTGGTCAGCCAACCTGACTATTTTTCTTGGCGATCTTTCAAAGATCTTTAGGGGGGTCATTAAGAAAGCTTCACGTTGAAACTTGCGAGATTGTTTTGGGGTGGGGTAAATGCCTGCCAAATGTTGGACTGGGTGACCCTTGGTCGTCAGACTGGCCTTCAATTGATCGGTAGACCTTCAGTCGGGTAGGCTAGCTATTAGTCGATCGGATTGGCCATAAGTTGCCTTAGATGACTATTAGTCGGTTAAATTCGTGAGACACTGTAGCTTTTCGTAGAGAGAAAGATCCTCATCATATTTTCTTTGATTTGGTCGTCAGATTGTCATGAGATTGTTGCAAACCATATTTAGATGTACAATTATAAAATATTTTTTAGGAACTGGATGAGCAAATCTTAAAATGCAGCACATAATAAATATAAGTATGCCTAAGAAGCTTTAGTTAATTGAAATTTTAGAAGAAACAGATACAATAATTGAAATCGCATTTGAATGATTTTTTTTCAATTAAAATGAATTTTTTTTTTGGAAAGAGATTAACAAAAGATTAAAAATGGAATATTAATCTGTTTTTTTTTTTTCTTAAAAACAGAAGTTTATTCACACGATATATATATCTAGACACACACTGCTTATGGTTCGTTTTTTAGGGCTGCGAGGAAGTAGTTTGTAAAACACGAGGAAATATGCACTGGGTTAGAGCCGATGCCTCAGATTTTGGTGGAAATCTCCCAATTGCGCGAAGGCAACCTCTTTCTCCGTCTCATAAACCATATTTCATCTTCAGTTCCTCACTCAAATTTTGATTCCATGTTTTAATCTCCTATCTTATCCATGTCCTTGACAATTTCGGAACTGCAGTGGTCACACTGCGGTGAACGTTGGAAAATCGAAAGTTGTTGTATTTGGAGGTTTCGCCGATCGAAGATTTCTAGTTGATATCTTTGTATTTGACGTTGGTATGATGTTTTACTCTTTTCCATTTCCTCTTCTCAGCCGTTTTGCTGTCATTTATTTTTAATTTACTATATAGGAATATCTTAAGCCGAGAAATATCCGGTAGGATTGGCTTCCTTAATGCTATCACACTCTTTAGATCATCATTGACCTGCTCCACCAATTTTAGTATAATAGTATTTATACTAAAAATTTTGAAGGCAGAACAGCCTCGGCGGAATCTAAATTATCCTTGAAGGTAGCGGATAAAAATAGTTGTCTGGAAGAGTAAAGGGAGCTTTTGTGGATAATTTTGATGCCACAGAGCTTCCAACTGAACAAATTTTCAAGAAAGCACAGTTAAAAGATGAACAAACGTTAGTTTGCTCGTGATTAAAAAATTCATTTGCCTTAAAAGTCATATTTGTTATAGGCTGCAGCATATATCTGTTAAGGAGTTTTAATGAATATGATTCGATTGAAACATTATCTTAAATCTTATTTTGTTACTAAAAAAGATCATGACTCATGAGGTAGGCAACATGAGGTAGGCAATGTGCTTTATACTTCCTATTTCAATCGCTCAGCTCAACTTGAGGACCCTTCTATAGAACTGTAATGATGCCATGCTCTTGAAAATGCTTGCCCTACATGTAGATGGTGGTGGAAGAAGTAGAAGTCTCTATAGATGATGGTTTTGTAATATATTTATAAATTTTTGGAGTTGGATTTTTGCTATATTTCTTGTAACTTGTAACTGTCACATTTGATTCATAAGCTTTACTATATCCTCTTTAGTTTAGATCCCTCTCTTGTTTTCTATGGCTGACATCATCCAAACTTGGTCTCACTAGATCAAACTAAAGACTTCAATGAGATGAAGCTTGAGTAGTATGGCTTAGATGAAGTAGCCCTAGTGGAGCCAACCATAGGCCCCCTCATACTGTTGCCCTTTTAAAATATAAAGGGGTACATGAGTGATTAATTGTCGGTAGATAATTCATCCCGAGAGTGCGTTTAAAATCACAAAGCTATGTTTCTTCTTGTAACAATTAATCTGTTGCTTCTTCTTAACACTTCACCACAGCAGGTCAACAAAACTTCTCAAGTATTAATCTCCAGATGCACAAAAACTGCAAAATGCTGGAAACAATTGCTTCTGCTTATAATCTGTCTCTATTATGGAACTCATAGTTTAATCTCTAAATTTTTTTCATTGAGCAGAGATGTATGATGCATGGATCATTGAAAATATTATTGCTATATTTTCTTAATTAGGATTAAAAGATCCATGCAAATGAATTTTTGATCTTACATTTATATCAATTTCTTCAATATTGTTGATCTTGAGATTTTGATGTCTGCTTAAAGGAGAAAACTTGCCAAAACTGTGAGCGAGCAAATATCTGGTATTCCTTTTTTGGATGTTTTCGTTATGGTGCAAAACAACTCAATTATATTTCTTTGCTGAAGCATACTTCTATTTAGCTATATTAATCTAAATAATGATATATAGCGAAGATAGAAATATTGTGCAAGTGTCTGGGCAAATCCAATGCTGTTTTGACACAAAACAACTTCTCTTAAACTCCAGTATGATGCACTTGCTTTCAATAGATCTCTTCTGATTCTCCTCCTTTTCTCATTTACTGAACCTTGTTTATCAATCGTGCATCCTTAGTAACATAGTATGCTTATAGAATATAACAATCTGTGGAACCAATGCTTGGTATCGGAGGCCTTAAGTTGCCCTTTAACTATGAGAGTCAGTTTTACCAAAACTGCTGTAAATCTTTGATGGTTTCTTATATGCGCAGACAATGGTATATGGTTTACTCCTGACTGCACAGGAAGTGGATCTGATGGGCAGGTAGGGCCAGCTCCACGTGCATTTCATATTGCTGTTGCCATTGATTGCCACATGTTCATTTTTGGAGGGCGTTCAGGAAGCAAGAGGTGGTATACTTTTTTATTATGGCTTGTTCTTCAGCATTAAAATTTGTCTTATGTTGGCACTTACCAAATAATTATATTGTTAGGTTGGGTGATTTTTGGATGCTTGATACTGGTAAGCATGTTGTTATCATCTCAAACTAGATTCATCCAATAGTTATGGTTGTGTAAATTCCGTAGTTACAACTAGAATCTCTTATTTATAAATTTCAGAGTGAACGATTTGGTATATTGTAATTTATTTTCCTTTGTTGTCATAGACTATCCAACCCTTGTGCTTTAGCAATCTGTATATTTTGTATTCTTCTTTTATATTCTTTTTATGCTGTGCTACATTTCATGCTTGTTTGCTTCATCTTTTAGTGTGGGAAAATTGTACTGTGTTTCATTTTCCTATTTCTTGCACTCAGCCATACTATTTTTATGTTGTTCCGTGATTTTATGAATGTTTGTAAGGCCATTTTATCTTTTCTCTATCTTTTATTCTCTGAATGAAAAAAAATCTCAAGTGTTATCAAATATGCATTTTGTTTTATATAAAATAAAATAATAATAATAATAATAATAAAAAAAGAAAAAAAAAGAGAACCAAAATATCCAGTAATAGTCTGTGGTTAAATTGGATTTGATTTTCTTTCTAATGTTTTTATATTTTCGTTGCTCCTTTTTCTACTTTTCGTTTGTTTTTTTCCTCTATTCTTCCTACTTTGACTAGCTTATGCTGAAGTTCTGCTTCGTTATCTATGTATCCACCATTAACTCCTGCCATTATATTTTATCGTCAGATATTTGGCAATGGTCAGAACTCACTGGCTTTGGTGACTTGCCATCACCAAGGGAGTTTGCTGCTGCTTCATCTATTGGAAATCGAAAAATCGTTATGTAGGTATAAATTGTATTCAGTGAGAGAATTCAGAGTAAGCACTGTAATATCAAAAATACCCTTAATGTATAAATTTTTTGCAGGTATGGTGGTTGGGATGGTAAAAAATGGTTGTCAGATATCTATATCTTAGACACAAGTAGTGCTACGTCTATTTTGAATTTTTTAGCCATATCCCCATGTAGAAATTCTATAATTTGATAAAGTTTTTCAAGATTTCTTTTTTTTTTTTTGTAACTAGTATCACTCGAGTGGACAGAACTATCAATTACTGGTTCTGCACCGCCTCCAAGGTGTGGGCATACAGCCACCATGGTTGAGAAGCGACTGCTTGTCTTTGGTGGAAGAGGTAGGCACTAGCATTATGCATTTTCTCTTGCTATTTTTACCTGTGAAACTTCCACATTCTTTCCAGTCATAGGAAATCAATAGAACGTCCACCTGTTCATTCCCCACCCCGTTCACACGATTGTCAGTATTTTAGGAACAGTTTAACATCATGATTTGGCTTGAACTCCCTTTACTATTTCCCATGGACCTAGTCATTACTAGAAGATTAAAACCATTGCTATGTGGTTGACATTCTTTTGATGTAACATGCTTTGGCTGCTTTAGTTTTGCTGATGATATATTTCAGTTTCATTTCGTTTAATGTATTAATTTTTTGAATTGTTTGAACATGCTTTGGCTGCTGTAGTGTTGTTGCTGGTGATGTATTTCAGTTTCACCTACGAATGTGCCTTGCATGTATAAACTTTGTGAGGGCTATGAATGTTTATTGCTGCATGTCATTTCTCATTCTTCCATGGATGCTACTCAATGGCATACTAGGCTTTGAAGGGTCATGGTTGGGAATGTTCAAGGCTGTGAATGCTTGTTGACCAGATTTCTACGTCATTTCTCACAGGAGGTGGTGGACCTATAATGGGAGATTTATGGGCTTTGAAGGGTCTTATTGAAGAAGGTAAGGGTTCTTTCTACTACATATGATGCTATACTCTCATGATGAATTGTTTCTGAAGCTTAACCACTTTACCCCTGCTTTGATAACTATAAACTTGGAGCAATGGGTATTCCCTTATTTGATGCAGAACATGAGTTTTGTTAGGATTTAATTTAGAGTTATTTTATATTTAATTTATTTTTATTTACTATTTATCATGGGAATTATCTATTAGGTTAATATGGACTTTTGTAATTAATATGGATCCTTTTATCTATTAAATTGTGTGCTCTTATGATGACAATACTGGACTTTGCATAGAGTTGGAATTATTCCCCTTTACTATCATTTTTCTCGTCATATGCTTTTCGTAGTAGATTTAATCTGTCATGTTATTCACTACAATTTTGGTGTCAACAACTTTTGCTATCTATTGGCATAAACTCTGGATCACTTAACAAGTTGACTATTCAAGGTACCTCATCTTGTATCAATTGTTGTCATATCATTTCTATTTGCATCAATTGTTATGATAGAATGTCTATCTACATAAATTGGCCTCATAACACTTCTATCTACATCATTTTTCTAGTTTTTTTTTTTTAATTGTAAGTTAGATTCTTTTCAGAGTATGCAATTCTTTTTTTGTGTGATTCATTATAGTTGATCTCTAACAAATCGATCCACTTTTATGGATTGAATCAATCTGCAATAGTAAATGTAATTTTAGTTCTATATTAATTGATGATTATTTTTTGGTTCAATTATGAGTTAGCTGCATTGGTCGTGTTACTTGTCTTAAAAGTCATAGGCATTCAGATAAAACATGAGTGCCATAAAAAATTCTTTCTTCAGCCTTCTTTAATGGTAACATTGATACTATGTGACATGACGTGTTACTTGTCTTAAAAGTCATAGGCATTCAGATGAAACATGAGTGCCATAAAAAAATTCTTTCTTCAGCCTTTTTTAATGGTAACATTGATACTATGTGACATGGAGCTTGATGAGTGGCAGGCTGAATTGGCCGACCTTCATGGGGGCTGGAATTGCCGCTTCTTTCCCTCTCCCTATTTCCTATTTTACTCCCTTTGGGAACTTCTTCTTTTTCAATTCCTTTTCTATTTCTAGTCCTTGCCTATTTCTTTTCCTTTCCTATTTCTCTTCCTTGCCTATATCTATTCCTTTCTATTTTTGTTCATTTCTCTTCTATTTCTTGCCTTTCTCCTCTATTCCCTTCTTAATTCTACTTCATTCCTATTCTTATTCCTTCCTATTCTAGTTTTTTCCTATTCTAACTACTAGTAACTATTATAAATATGTTGTTTGCTGTCTTAGGGCTTTGTTTTTGGTCTTTCTGATTTCAGAATTCTGTCCAACTTGTCATTGGCTGTTGCTGTCCCTTCTTTGGTTGTATCCGAAGGCGAAAATGTGCTCCTGCTATAACTCGTACGAGGTGATGATTCTTTCCAAGGGTTCGAGAGGTGCTCCTGCTGTACCTTGCTCCTGCGAGGATAATGATCTTTCTCTTTTCATTCCAACTACTTGTTGCTCCTCTCCTATATTCCTACATAACTGCTGCCGCCCTTCAGCAACCCACATATTTACTGCAACCCCAAACTTTCCACCTTCCTGTTACTCTTTTTCCTCTCTTCTTCCCGGTCACAGTTACAACCTTGTACTCCCTAAATCTGCTGCCGTAACCCTCTTCCATTCGTAAGGCTGCTACCAAACCTCCGAACTCCCAAATCTGTCGCCGTAAGTGTATACCACTCCCAAGGCAGCTCCAGTAACCGACCCAAGTTCCAAATCTATTGCCGTGGCCATCTCCTACTCCCAAGGCTGCTATCATAACCCTCGTCCACTCCCAAAACTGCTGCAGTAACCCTATCCAACTCCCAAATCAGTATCCATCCCCTTCATCTCTGTTTTACCGTAAACCCTTCTAGCACCATCCACAGCTGCGGCAAGCTCCAGCCAACCATTTCACTTGCTGTCTAGCCGACCATTTCACTTGCTCTCTAGCCGGTGGTCGCCACCTTTGCCTTCACTCTAGGGTATATTTTATGTTTGTGTTTGTTATATTTTTATTGTCAAGAGTCTTTGTGCGTAACACTTTGAATTTCAACAAAAATATTTCCCTTTTTAATCGTGCTTTGGGATTACCTCGGTATCAGTTGGCATCAAAGCTAGTTTAACTGTAGTCCTATCCTAAGGTTTCCTAGCATCCGGCCCACCTAAGCCACCTCTATCAAAAAAAAAAAAATTTCCTACCAACCATCATACTATAGCCAAATTTGACCTAACCTTAAATTCTTTTTTGTGATTTTCAAAATCAGCAATTCCAAATTAAATTTGCTACACTCTCAATTTGTCTCATAACCCTCTTTCTCCTCCCACTCTATACCCTAACCATACCACCAAAGAGATACATGCCCGAGCTTACCCTTGAAATGTGCATTTCTAAAACAAAAAGTATTACAAAATACAAAAAAGAGTACCTAGCCCATACAAACTATGGGCTTGTCAAAATCTACAAAAGGAATTAGGAAATGTGTACTATCAACATTCCTATCATAAAACAACATGTATGGCTTTCTTTGCATAAATATGGGTAACAATATTCTTTTTCTATCTGTTTAAAATAAAACTAGGAAATAAAACTCTTCTTCAACTGATTTTTTCTTCCAAGATTCGAAAAGCAACATTTGTCGCAAGGAAACTATAATGTGCTTTTTATCACTTTCAATGATAATATCTTTAACTTCATGCATCCTTTGCTCCACAAAATGCTTGATAGATGAAATCACCTCAAGTTTCACGCTAGAGCTGTCCCAATGCGTAGAGGGTTGGCCCACCAACAACACGAGTTTCGTCGACTCTAGCGAAAGCTTGCAGATATTGAGGATGAAATCCAAGGGGGCCCTTGACTGGAATCTAGAGACTCAAAGGGGAGCAAAAGACGAGGGTCTAAATCCCTTCCATAAGGAGGAGTTTAGTGATCCTGCACCCCGCCCCCCTAAGCCCCCCCCAACAAAAAAAAAAAAAAATTTCCTACCAACCATCATACTATAGCCAAATTTGACCTAACCTTAAATTCTTTTTTGTGATTTTCAAAATCAGCAATTCCAAATTAAATTTGCTACACTCTCAATTTGTCTCATAACCCTCTTTCTCCTCCCACTCTATACCCTAACCATACCACCAAAGAGATACATGCCCGAGCTTACCCTTGAAATGTGCATTTCTAAAACAAAAAGTATTACAAAATACAAAAAAGAGTACCTAGCCCATACAAACTATGGGCTTGTCAAAATCTACAAAAGGAATTAGGAAATGTGTACTATCAACATTCCTATCATAAAACAACATGTATGGCTTTCTTTGCATAAATATGGGTAACAATATTCTTTTTCTATCTGTTTAAAATAAAACTAGGAAATAAAACTCTTCTTCAACTGATTTTTTCTTCCAAGATTCGAAAAGCAACATTTGTCGCAAGGAAACTATAATGTGCTTTTTATCACTTTCAATGATAATATCTTTAACTTCATGCTTCCTTTGCTCCACAAAATGCTTGATAGATGAAATCACCTCAAGTTTCACGCTAGAGCTGTCCCAATGCGTAGAGGGTTGGCCCACCAACAACACGAGTTTCGTCGACTCTAGCGAAAGCTTGCGGATATTGAGGATGAAATCCAAGGGGGCCCTTGACTGGAATCTAGAGACTCAAAGGGGAGCAAAAGACGAGGGTCTAAATCCCTTCCATAAGGAGGAGTTTAGTGATGCAAAAGACCAACCATGATGTTTTGGAATCCAATATCAGGCGAGGCTAAGAGAAAAGCTAGCATATGGAGAACAGTAGAATATGAAGATGAAGTGGGAGATCCAGTGCCAGTTCCTTCCAACTTACTATAGACAAAAGTTACAGATTCTAGCTTCAGAGGTGTAGAAACCACATCATCGGGCAACTACCATGTCTTACAAACAACGCTCAACCTCAGGTATTATAGTCATATTACACTAGTGCTGTAAACGAGCCGAGCTTGAGCGAGCTGAGCCTCGACTCGTGTTTGAAGTGGCTCGTGCTCGAAGGGACTCGTGAACATTATGTTTCTTGTTCAGCTCGTATAACATATTTCTGTTTGTGTTCGGCTCGTGTTCTGCTTGAAATAGGCTCGATAGAATATATTCCGCGGAATAACATCGCGGAATAACACCGTAGTGTTATTCGGGTGTTATTCACGATGTTATTGGTGTTATCAATTTTACTCTGTAATGCTACACCGTGGAATAACACTAAGTAATACCGCAAAATAACACTATGGAATAACACTACGATTTTATTCAGGTGTTACTCGCGGTGTTATTGATGTTATCGACGTTATTTAGTTGTGTTACATCGCGGAATATCACCGAGCAACACTGCTAAATAACACACCACGGCATGACACCACTGTGTTAATCGGGTGTTATTCTGCGATGTTATTAGTGTTATCGGTGTTATTCCACGATGTTACACCGCGGAATAACACTCATAACACCACATAAAATTGAGTATATTTTTATTTATATTTATTTATTAATTTATTTATTTCTTTGAAGCCAATTCGCCGAACATGAGCGAACAAATATTTGTTCGTATTCGGCTCGGTTATATTTCAAGCTTAAAAATTTGTTCGTGTTCGGCTCGTAAAGCTTAATGAACGAGCTGTTTGCGAATAACGAGCCGTTTGGACAACCCTAGATTACACCCAGGAGAACATGCAAGTTGACCCCGTCGGAAGGAAAACAGAGTTAGGGTGGAGAACAAGTGGAACCAATCCACATCCCTAGATCTATCTTAGCCAGTAAGTGTTGCAAGTACCACAGATTTGGACATGTTGAATCAGACTGTACAACCAGAGAGATGATCTGTTTCAATGAGCAGGGCATTCTTGAAAAATTGGGTAATGACACTGAAAACGGTGATGACACAAAGGAGAATGACCATCCAACTTCATGGTAAAAAAGATGCACATAATTTTAGCTGAGCCTGTGGGAGAAACTCTAACCGACTTTACGGTGAGTGTTCAAGGAAGTTTTGAGTTCGACGAACTAACACTAGAGGCATGACAACCCCATATAAGAGAAATTCAGACCATTTAGATTTATAGATTCATTCCTAAGTTGTCTTTATTAAGCGAGGTCTAGTACTTAAGAAATGGGGCCCTTTTGTGCCATGTCAGAAAGATTACATTGAGCTATTCATATGTTATATTCAATTTAATAGTGTACCCACCTTCAAAATTTGTCTTAGGAGTTTTATAGGAAAAGGAATTCTTCAGTGGAATCTGGGTCCTATCCGTGAAGAAGAGGTCTCTCTTGAGTAATTGCTAGTGAGAATGGTGGAACCTGACACAGAGTCCCCCAAGTTGATCTCTTCTCACATATTGATTTATTAGCTACATTTCACTGAGTACGAAAAGTGGAAGAAGAGTGTTCCAGACTTAAGAGCTCAAGAGTTACATTGCGGAAAACTACGAGTCTGTTTGGGGCAGCTGCAACTTATTGAATAATCTGCTGATAAGCTGATTAAAAATAATCTGCTGATAAGCTAGGTGTGGTGGCTATTATAAATTTTATTTTTTTGGAAAAGTCAAACCACTGCCAGAAAGTTGTCACCGCACCTAGATATGTGCGGTGTGAAAACACTGTTTTTTGACGTTTTGAAAACGCATAAGCTGTCAAAACACTATTTACCCAAACAAGCCAGGTGCGTTTTTAAAACGCCACCGCACCAAATAAGTTGCCCTAAACGGACCCTACATTTATATACAACCCTAGCTCAGGATGTGCCAAGAGATTATGCATATTTGTTTTATCAAGTATTGCTGTGTGGAATGACAACACCGACATGATCAACCTATTAGGGGACTACACTATCTCTGTCACCTTCAACATGGTAGACTTGACTTTGTGCTATGAGAAGCCAAAAGTTTTGACGAATGAAGTTAAAGCTCTTCTAACCCCGAGAGACTAACACGGGGCATGCTGAGCGGCCAGCTGAATCGATTAGCCTTCATGGGAGTTGGAATTGCCCCTTTCATAGAGGAAACTTCTTCCTGTTTTATTCCATTCTTTTCCTATTTATAGTCCTTGCTTATTTCTCTTCATTTCTTATTTTTATTCCTTGCTTGTTTCTCTTCCTTTCCTATTTCTATCCCTTCCTCTTCTATCCCTTGCCCTTTTCTATTCCCTTCCTAATTCTAATTCTTTCATATTCTAATTCCTTCATATTGTAACTACTATTAACTATTATAAATATGTTGTTTGCTGTTTTACAGTTCAATTTTTGCGTTCAATTTTTGCTCTTTCGGATTTCAAAATTCTGTTCAACTTGCCGTCGGCGGTTGTTTTCCTTTCTTGGGCTATATCTGAAGGCGAGAAGGTGCTCAGTTGTAACTCGTCCAAAGTGGTGATCTTCTCCAAGGATTCTAGAGGTGCTCTTTGTAATGTGATCCCACAAGGATAGTTATCTTTCCCTTTTCATCCCGCCTGCTCGCTGCCCCTCTCTCTGCAGTCCAACATGGCTGCTGCCGCCTTCCAGCAGCCCACATACTTACTGCAGCCTCAAACCATCCACCTACCCGTTACCCTCCTCCCTCCCTTCTTCCCAGCTGCAGCCCCAAGGCTGCTGCCATAAACCTCCTCAACTCCCAAGTCTGCTGCCGCAACACTCTCCCACTCCCATGTCTGCTGCTGTAATCCTCTCCAACTCTCAAACCTGCTGCCATTCCCCCATCCCTGTTGTATCGTAACCTTTTCCAGCACCATCCACAGCTGCCGCAAGCCCCAGCCAACCATCTCACTTGCTGTCCAGCCGGTGTTTGCCAGCTTCGCCTTTGCCCTAGGGTATATTTTATGTTTGTATTTGTTATTTTTCTATTGCCAAGTGTCTTTGTGAATAACCCTTTGAATTTCAGCAATAATATTTCCATTTCTATTGTGGTTTGGGATTACTCTGGTGTCACTATGGTTTTCTCTGACATTTTTTTATCCTTAAATCCCATGACTTCAACAAAAGTTAGCTGGTTGATTGATGGAACTATATGCAGAAAAATAATCTGGCTTATAATTTTCTATCGGCATTTAACCAGGCATAATTCAATTAGTAAACATCAACACTGCAGTACCCTTTTATTATTCGATCATTCATATGCTTATTTTTCCTAATACATTTTTGGCATGCACTTGAAGTTATTTGATCTTTGTTTTTTCTTCACTTGAGCAATAATTTCCATTCTTCCTCATATACTTCTTGGCATTCATCATATGGGGATGAGCAATTTAAGCCCTCGGTTGCAATCATTGCTGTATAGTATGACAACGGATGCCAAATATTCTTGGATTTCCTTAAGCTATATCTCTGTTTAAGCTGCTATGCTCAACTATGTTAGTTGCATTAGGAATTTCTATAGAATATAGACTCTTTCTGCAGTATTTTTACGTTATTTTCAAAGATAGTAGTCCGTATTTGAATTAACCTTTTTATGATATTTTAATAATGTTTAATCTTATGAGATGCTTATAACTTTTTTTTTTTTTTGGAAGAGAACGAAATGCCAGGTTGGACTCAGTTAAAGCTTCCTGGACCATCACCCTCCCCTCGCTGTGGCCACTCAATAACTTCTGGAGGGCCCTACGTAATATCTTCTCAGATCTTTTATAAAATTTTCTTTCTTGCTTTCTTACATTTCTTATTTAACAGATTTTTGCTTTGCCATATATGCTTAAGCTGTTGTATCTTAACATGCTAAGGTAATCTGTAATATTCACGTGCTTACAACCCATTTTAATGGTAAGGTGGCATGGTAGATGCTATCTTGGAGAAGTCTTTTTTCATTTTGTTAGAACTCCATTAACAATGAAAAATTTTAGAAGCGGTTTAGTATTAATTGCACATGATGTGTAATCATAATGACAAAAAAATATTATTGTTAGTCAATACTATTCAAGTAATTACTTGTTTTGATAGGCTTAGATTTTTTTGGATATATTGATACATAGAGAACTTATATATTTGTGCGCCCTTGGGTGACAAGTTGGTAGGTAGCCGCGTTCTCAGTCGTAAGACCTCTCTTACTCGGGTACGATTTCTACTGGGACAGATGCACATATGGGAAGCGATATTCTCAAATACCATAAAAAAACTTCTATATTTAAAGTTTAATGATTAAACTAACGAGGTGCTCAAAATTACCGTGCAATGATGGAATATTATGGGATTTTGATGTAGATTTTTTATAATTGTTTTTAGATCAAATAAGTGAGTAGCAACTAGCTTTAAAACAGTCTAACTTAGAATGGTAAGATGTTGTGTGAAAAATAAATAACAGTAAGGATGATACTAGAGAGATGCTGAGTTTATCATATATGTACAATATATCATAGAAAGTAGGTCTTTGCGGTTAAGCTGGGCAACCCCTAAGTTTTATTAAATTGGGTTTATAAGGATAGAGTTCAGGTGACTTTTATATTTTTTGTGGGCATATTATGGTACTCAGCCACACCGACCTTTACTATTTATTATAAATTTTATTTGTGTTTTGATTATGTTTATTTTGTTTGTACTTTAGAGCTCTTGCATTTTTTTCTTATGTTTTTTCACTTATTTGTGTGAAGCTTGGACGATTTACGGTAGGTTCTTAAGATAAAATTTCTTCTACTCCAAATAAAATATAATAAAGCATAAATTATAATGAACTAGAAATTATTAGGGAAGCTAATCATGTGAATCACATATTGTCTCCTCTTATTTTCATGCACTTCACCCATTGCACATGTAAGAGCCATCTTATGTTTGAGGATGAGTGCTCCTGTTCGGGTGAATTTGTACCTAAAATTTTGGCCTAATTACAGATTAAAATTTTAGAGCATTTAATGTACCTTAGGATTGCATTTTAATCGACCAACTAACTGGCAGTTCATTTTTTGTATCCTGGCTAAAGATCAGTGTTTGCAAATGTGTATTTATACACATCTTACTTTTATTTGTACGTTTATGCATTTTATACTTCAAACCTTGAATGCTTCTTAATAGTATTACATAATTGGCCTTATTTATTTGTTTTTATTCATTGATTATTACAAATGCCTTTTTTGGTTGTATGTTGTTGCATGAGATTCTTATGAACTAGAACTGTAATCTGAACTTAGAATGATCAGTGTTATCATTTTCCATTAATTTGATTTTCTAGTTTTTTTTCTGTAAGAGCTTGTTGGCACATTTATTTCAATGACTATTGTTGTGTGTAACCTTGCTTTTTATTTTCACAGCTCTTGGTATTTGGCGGGCATGGTACCGGAGGTTGGCTAAGCCGTTATGACATCTACCACAATGATTGCATTGTCTTGGATAGAAGTAAGTTTGGCAAAGAGATGCAATACGTTATGAGCTCGCATCTTTTAAGGATCTAACCTGATAACTTGCTTGTGTGGACAAAATTATTTGAGCTTTTGATTTATAGAAGCTTTATTATTATTTTTTCTCAAAATTATTGTCATCATCCCATTTATTGTGGGTTAGTTTTATGAATCCTCGGTCTCCATTCATTTTTATTGAATGGCTATTGAAAGGTTGAATCTATTTCAGACAATACCCATTGCACGGCCTATATCAATATTAACTTCCTCTTTTTTTCCTGAGCATGCATGTTATTTTGTATCAATATTAACTTCCTAAACTGCCTAAACTTGTTTTTACTTTCTTTTTTTCAATAGGTGATATTTTTGCGACCATTTCTGTATCCGTACTAATAGGTTTTTATATACATCTATCTTAAATCATTTCTCTAACCGTACTCACAGGTTTTACCATACATCTACCTTAGCATTTTCATTCTTGTTAACATATTTTATGATCAAAATGTGATACACACGTCAACACATGACATGATTAAAGTATTGAATTTCAACTTATGAGATGAATCTCAAGAGACAAGATCAAGTAGTTTTGTGCTCAAGAGAAATGATTCCTGTATAAGCTTGTGCAAGTGAAAATGTAGTCATAATTATGAATTAAAACTTTATTACATCAATACAATTTCTAACAATCTCTCAGTAAAGAAAATTAGAATATCAACTAATAGAAGGGACATGAATAAACTACATTTGCAATTAACCAGAACTGTATATGACAAGTCTAAACCAAAAGCTACAATTTAGAAATAAAAACCTAATCAATGAAATAACTATGCTGAAAGATTCGTTCATATAGTGATGGTCCCACCAATCAATCTAGTAATAGACAAAAGAAAAGTTGAATCACAAATGAGTTTGACATGCAAACTCAGTAGATAAATTTTATTTATTAAATCAATTAAAATATATGTGAGATTTAATATGAAATTTAAAAGCGGCAAGGCTTCAATATTAACCTAATAAATGTCATCATAACATTTCATTGGGATTATACCATATTGCATGATTAATAAAAAATATTATTTATTCTATGATAATTCACAACATCGTATTCGTAATCTTTTATAGAAAAAGAAGAATATCTTATGTATTTACAAGGTAGCACATTCATTTGTGTCCACATCAGACATAGTCATACACATTTAGAAATAACTCAAAACCATTTTTAGTAATACCTTATTTATGGTTGTTTTGTGTAAATACCTTGAATGAGAGGAAGGTTTTGCATCCTCCAAGTTTTGTCTGATGATCTCTTTAGGAGTTGCCAATCTATGGGCTTATTAAGCTAACTAGCTAATCATATTAATAAGAGGTTACTGTTACATCATAATTATCCACAAGCTTACAATTTTTTTATATGTCTCGAGCATTTATTATAACAATTATTTTTTAAGTAGCATGATTAACACTTATTTCATTTTAGAATGAGTTGCATGATCAAGATCTATTCATATTAGCTAAGGTATAGTGAAGGTAAAATATGTTATCACAAGTTTCATTGCATGAGTAAAGAGTTCAGAAACTAACTGAGCATTTAAATTTTACTTGAGTGTGTATTGCTTGATTGAGTGTGAGAGTCAAGATTTAAAATTTTTTTATATGCAAACTACTGCAAGCATCATGGATAACATTCTAACAAATACGTGCATATCTATTCTCTAATAAATAAATAGCAATCTACCTTTAGGTACTCCCGAAGCATTAAAGAAATAATAAATAATGATCACTAACCCTAATAAAACTATATATAAATAAAGAGGAGTTCTTATTAATGTTATCATGATAACTTATAATAAATGGTAAATCATACCTTAACAACATATTTTTTTATTCCCAAATCAACCTAAACAATTACATATTAACACGAGATTTAATTGAATCAAACTAGAGAAAAAAAGATTTTATTTGGTTAATTTGTTAGAAGATAAGGATCCCAATAGTGATGGTGCAAACATTATCAAGGAACTGTACAATTAACCTAAAAATTACATCGTTGTAGGAAAAAATGATTTTAATTGGAATTTTGATTGCTCTTTTAATTAAGGCTGAAATTAGCAGGGGAACAAAAATATTGACGTTATCACAAGTTTCTCAACAACCGATGATAACGATGTTATTGAAAACTTGAGATTGTTGCTTTCAACAATTGAAATTGAGATAGAGGATAGAAAAGCAATCGTGTTTTAAGAGTGGAAACTTGTGGTTGCATAGTGGGGAGAAGGAAGCAAGCATGTTTGAGAAAATAATTGAGATTGGAGCCCACTTTGAGTTTTGAGGGTGTTGCGATCAAAGGAGAATGCAAGTAGCATGATAATTCACAATCTTTTTTTTTGTTGGCTACAGGAGAATGAGGTTTGTTGTTTTCTTTTTAAATCATCGACCAAAGGTAGTATAATGCATTAATATCGCATGTGAAGGTAACTAAGGATGAGATTCTTTCATGTGACATGGTGATGAAGGTGGCAACTAAGTCAGTGAAGTCTTGGATTGGGACGAGAATGTAAGTTTGGGATACCTTTTTTGTATGGTCAATTGGTACATCTTGTCCCCTTTAAAAGAATGTTCACAAATTTGTACCTAATGTGATACAATAGCGTAGGGTATTTCATGATTAACTCTTCCTTCGTCTCACATATTATTCTTGTTCCAAGTGGCTATTCTAGAGTAATTTGGTAAAAGGAATAAATTTGTGACAGCTCACAAATTTCATAATCCAAAATATACTTTGGTATTTCTTCATAACTTTGTCCTTCTTGAATCAATAACAACGCAGATTAAACAATATGAGTCATCTTATATATGATGCTAAGGATGAGCACTAAAGAATTTATAAACTCCTCTAAGGCTCCTAGGAAGAGCTAATCTGTATGAGACTACCCACTCTCCCAGTCATCTCAAGAGGGCTATTGTAGCATGTGGAAGCTTCCAACTCCTCCCAAATCTTTAATTTTACACATAAGTGAGACTTTAAGAAAAATAGTCTCTTACCCAAACTCCGTCTTCCAATATTTTGGGTCAAAATGCCATCTTTGATGTTTCCGAGTTGATCAAAGCTATTTGTTAATCTGATAAATTTTCTCAACAATCTTATCAACTAATTGAGGCTTAAGAATTTTCTCTTGCCAACTTTATACCAACAAAAAATGGATTTGTATTTCTTATTACGAAGATACTCATTTAGCATCATACTTATGTTATTTTGGAAAGGATTGCTGTAGGAAAACACCCCAAGTGAGCAAATGGAGTATAATTCTCCCAACTATCTCATAAAATAAGAAATAAACTTTCTGCAAATCTTCTGCTGCTTGATCTGACTGACCATTTTTTTGGCGATAAAATGTTGTATTAAAAATTTCTCTCCCAAGCCCTTTGCACCTTCTTGCATAAGACAAAAGTAAATCTCTTATTTTGATTAGACACAATGGTAATGGAGATTACACTTAATCAATACCTTTATCCTTCTAGATCACTGTCAAATTCACTACATAATTGTCTTTGATAGGTATAAAATCAATGGTTATCGTGAGCTTTCCCTGAATCAATAGTGAGAATTTGAGTTGTTAGTAAGCAATTTATTAGCTTAAAATAATTTTCCTCATAGGAATCATATCATACAAACTTAAATAGACTTTTATATCCATTTGATCAAATGTGCACCGATTCTAAAAAAAGCTCTTAGAAAACTTCATGTAATATCCAACTACATCAAGAAACTATCAAGCTATGGACAATACTTTATTTCATCCAATCCATTACTACTTTCACCTTAATGGGATCAAAATAAAATTTTCTCACACTTCTAATATGCCCATGCAAGTTGTTTCTCAAAGCCAAAATCCTCACTTTAAAATAATTTCATATGAATACTATTTTCATTAAAAATATTTAATGTTATTTTGAGATGTTGAACTTATATATATATATATATATACACCCAAGGACAATTATATTAAAGGGAAAATGATACATATAGATTATATGAGTGAACCCAAATAGGCACCCAACACATAAGGTACAACACACACAAAAAAGGAAGACCAAAAAAGAGATGGTACATATAAAATCAATTGGGACGACTCAATTTAGTTCTGCCTCTACCTCTAGTTCTCGGAAGGGACCTAGCTAACAAATTGGTGAGGTGTGTACCATTACCGAAGTAATCAAAGTATCATCCATTAGATTCCTTAGCTCAAGTAGATCTCCATTCTTCTTCTTACTGGAAGTGTAAACCTGTCATTCCTCATCCGAAGATTGTTGCTCATTCGAATGAGGTAATAGAGCTGTTGTAGAAAGATTGCCAACAGTTGTACCCACAATAAATTCTAGTGTATGTGAAGTATGAGTTGTCGCCTCTACACCTGATACTTTCTCAAGATGGGGAGTTGCAAGGTTCTTCTGATGATTAGACCGAACAATATCCTTTGTAGGTAAGGATTCTTTAGTACTGTTTTCAATAGGGTTTGAAAATGTAGGTTGCCCAATAGTGCCATCCTGCATCACATCAATCACATAAATAATATTGTCAGGGGGGTCCGTAGTGGCAATTAAATCAGATATAAAATCTTGTCCTGTGATAGTTTTCTCTCCAGGTAGAACAGATATGTCTAGAGGAGTGGGGTTAGACCCATCTTTATTCACTTGATCTTTCGATTTCAAATTAGGATGAAGTTTATGAAATTTATCATGGGTATGCCCAAACATCTTACGATAAAAAACAATAAGGAGGTCTATGTTTTATAACGATTTGTTGCCAATATCCATTATGAGCTGTGCCCAACCAGACTTCAGTAAAATCATGTAAGGTAATATCTCTTTACACAAGTATTCTGACCACAAAAGGTCTGATTAGGTTGAAAGTGGGTAGATCTAACTTCATTGGGTTCCCAAGTATGACCCCAATAGAGTAAAGAACTTGATGATGAAAAAAGTGCAGCTTGAGAC